GTGAGAGGATTCACCAGAGACACAGAGTGGGGAGCAGAACAGGCAGATTGGCAAGTACACTGCTGAGGGGAACAGCGTGCGGGTCAGGAGAGAGCCGTCGTGCCATGTGGGTCAGCTCCCTGGCTGGGGATCGAACTCGTGCTGCAGTGGCTTTGTAGAGCTTCATAATTGGTCCTTTGACCTGTTGCGCCACCAGGGAGTGCCCCCACTTTTTGTCTTTAAGGTGAGTCCAGGCGGCTTTCCAGAGGGGCTCACCAGCTCATGTTCCCGCCGACAGCGTCACGGGGCTCCTCTTTCTCTGCACCCGCTCCAACACTTGCCGTTGGGTGGCACCTCACTGTGGCTTTAACCTGCAGCTCCTCCTGGCGGTGTCACAACAAGCGTTTTTTCACGCGTGTGTTGGCTTTCCGGAGCTCCACTTAGGTGAACCGTCTGTTCCGATCTGCTGCCCGTTGTGAATCGGGTTGTTTTTCTGACTGCTGAATTGTGAGTCTTTTTACCCTTCCTGGATGAACCCCTTATCAGTTATACACGGCGTGAATATTTTCTCCCAGTCATAAGGGTGTCTCGTTCATTCCCCCCCCCCACTGTACAAAACTACTTAACTTGTCGTAATTCCGACGGCTTTTGTTTCCTCTGCCACAGCTATGACTAAACACTTCCCCCCTGACTAGAATGTGCTCACTTGGACAGTTCTTTCAACTTTTTATTTTGGAAAAACTGTCTCCTCACAAAAAAAAACACAGACTGGGGCCCCCTGCCCACTCCACCAGCTGCCCCTCCCAAGGGTAACATCTGACGTGCGCATAGAGTAGGTCATCAAAACCTGAGTGAACGGCGGCACAGGGCCAGCTGGGACAGAGCTGACCCGAGATTCGCCATCTGTGGATGCACCTTCGATGCACCTCCCGCCACACGCACAGGTGAGTAGAAGCGGCGCCATAACCCCCATGAAGCACCAACATGAGGGCTCCTCTGGGGTCCTCTGTCTCCCCGCTCCCCGCCGCAGTATTCATTCTCTGTGACTCTGACTGACTTAAGACGTTAGTCAGAAAAATGTGCAAATGGCAGGTTATCTTGGTAGAAGTCAGTCTTTTAGGAACATCCCGAATTCACTGTCAGGCGTCAAGAACACTGAGCGATAGGAAGAACATGAAAGTCAGAGACAAACTGCTTCAAACACCAAATTTCACCTATTCGCGGGGGGGTAAAAAGCTGCAGAAAAAGGGACTAGAAAGATAAACCCCAGATACCAGAGATGATTCTCTGTGGGTAGGGGGACTGTAACAGAGAAACTACAATTTTATCTTTGTATTTTAAATTTCCCTACTAGGCATATGCTCTTTTTATAGTAGAAAGAAAACACATTAAGTCCCCTGCAGTGGCTATTAATACCATGGCTGTATGAATATTAATGCAGTCTATTAATATGTGAACAATCCACTCTGTGTGACTCAAGGACTTTGCAGTTTACAGAGTTTCTCAAGTGGGTGGTATGACTTGAAACTCATGCAAACAACAGGGGAGGTAGTGAGGTACCTTCCCCACACCCTCCCAGTGAGGAAACTCGTGCCCCAAAGTGAGGCAACATTAACCTACTTGGTTGCAGGGCTGGGGTCACCTCAGAGCCCTGGCTTCTGATGCCAGGGACTCTCCAACCGGAGCCTTCAGTCCATAGAGGTCCCTAAGGGCCAACGTGTGTTTATAATAACTAATAGCTTTATGTGACTTTTCTACTTTTGACAGATAATGCAAACGTAGCAGGTGGAGGCGGGGGGAGGTGCCTTATGTTACTCTGGGGAGGTACACGCACAGCATTTCTGAGGGCGTCATACCCAGACTCACAGGTGACTTGAAAGGACACTATTTTTTGAGTTGGGATCTGAACTACTGATTTTATTTGGTGGGTCAGGGTTTTTTTTATTTCAGAGAAACACCACTGTTTTCCATCAAAAGAATGACTGACATACTGTGGTACTGAGATCTGAGTATTTGGAAAACATTTTCTCAAAAATGAAAGAGCCTGTCACTACAAGAAAAACAAGGGACAGTATTTGTTGCTAATGATAAAGCTTGCAGCGAAAGTTGAAATTCTGGAAAACTGTATCTGTTAGCATGTGCTTGACAGCTTCCAAATACTTAAAAGTTCATTTACATGGTTTCAGAGTCATAATTCTAGTAGTATCTAAGAACTAGCACTTGTCAGGTTTTGATGCAGCATGGGGAGGGTCAATCATTACCCGAATACTTCGGGGAGCACCCCTCTCTTCCTGACGTGCTCAAGGATGAGACCCCACCCACTTCTGTCTAATTCACCCAAAACAACATATTGCCGAAAAAAGGAAGAGATTTTAAGCTTTCTTAGTTTTAAGTATTAAAACAGCAACGATGGATAGAAATAGTTTCCATAAACAAAAGCTCTCTGATAAAATCATTTTAAGACGCACTTAATTGTGAAATGGAACCCACACCTGCCTTGACGCAGCACCTGCTATAGAGACCACCCAAAAAGATGGAAATGTCAAAAGCTGATTCTTAAGTGAGTTCCATGTGTTAGGTACAGTGCTTGATCACTTTCATGAGCTCTACAAATTCCCACTGCCTCCAAGAAACTGACACTATTACTTCCGTGCATACAGAAGAGAGAATTATGTGGCATGTCTGCGGCTGAAGACAGGAAGGTGGAGCTGGCGTGGCACGTCTGATCGACACCAACACGCACGGGCCTCCAGCACCCGTATGTCACAGCCCTTTCACCCTGTTTTAGGAGGGAAACAAGTTTTTACCTAAAATCACATTCTTGGATGTGGAGGGGGGCGGGTAGTAAGGGAGTGAGTTACCTGGCACTGCACAGGGCCTGCAGCTTAAAGTGAGAAGCTGGCTATCAACCAGCTGCGGGCTCCAGCCTTCATGAGCCTGAGAGAACAGCACTTTGGGAGTCGCCTGAGAAGCCCGGTCCCAGGAGGGTGTTCTAGAGCATACATGCTGGGAGTGCGCCCCACACGCCCCACAAGGGACTGTCTGCCTGCAAGCTGACCCAGAAATCCTGCCCCTCCCTGAGGGCTTGGCTTCCTCCGCACCTGCCTTCCCTTCCCTGGCAAACATGAAAAGGGAGGCAGCCAGCTGCTGACCTGCGGTCAGGCTGCCCAAACGTCTGGGACTGTCTTTTTATTCCATGAGAACAGTGTCCCTCAGAAACCAGCTGATTCTTTTACCTGCTCCCTTGGCAGGAATCCACCACTATCTTCAAAGGAAAATGTTTGTCTTTATTTTTTCAATTAAATGAAGTTGCTTTCCAGCAACTTCTTCCAGAATTTTCTTGGACTTCTAGTTCTTCCAGAATTTTCTGACATTCCGAACTTCTAGATTTTTCTTAGACTTCTCGTTTTTCAAGGGGAGTAGACATGGAAAGAGGAGGTCTGGAGCCTGGGGTGTTTTGGGGAGCCTAGTGGTAGCTGAGTGCAAGGACTTGTAAGGATGGCGTGTCTCCACAGAGGGAGGAGTCCGGCTATGCAGGAAGTGTAGGCGCGAACGCCAGGAAACGTGGACGTGGTGACTCTTGACTTAAGCCAAGTACATGGGGCCTCCGGGACACCGAGGCTACCAACAGGCTCCTATGAAAATGCCCATGAAAGAAAACAGAACTCCCCCCGGAGTGCGACTCCAGCAGCTGTCACCCAAGGGGACTGTCAGAGCCTCACTTCCTCCCTTCCGACCACAGCACCCATGAGTGGTACAGAGCAGCCAGGCCGGAGGGAGCAGGAGTGAGAGGTCCCTTCTGAACAGGATTTATGTAATCTAAGCTTTATGGAACTATCTGGGGTTTGTCAAATAAACCCTGAAGTGTGGGAACATGTGGGTGGTAAGTTCAAAATCATCCTTTCTCACGTTTCTGAAAATAAGTCCGATTTCTATTTCTAGCATTTATTTTCCGTAGGGTTAGTTGTCACTGTGTAAGACTAGCTCAAAGGCATAAGCATTCAAGTTAACTAGAATTAAATTGCCAGACACATACACAAATATATTTCTAGTGTGAGAAAAGGAAAAGCATATTCTGACCAGCCAAACACTCAGGTCCACACTCGCTACAGGTAGGCAGTTTTCATGTTCCAGTAGACTGTATCCCCTGTAAAGTAGCTGCTGCATCAGGCAGATGCGTGACAAGCTTCTCACATCTGGCCATTACGTAGACACCCAAGCAACTGCTTCAAGACATCTTGAGTTTGCTCCTTCCAGAAGGCAACGTCACAGCAAAGACTGGGACAGCGGGAGGAAGGGAGCCTCACTGCTCTTTCCCGGGGCAGGGCTGAGGAAAGATGGTGCACACAACTTTCCTTTGGCACCTTTCCCCTTTCTTGTACCCACCTGTTGGGACTTAGGAGACAAGAGAGTTGACTGAACAATTACACAGGGGTAGGCGCAGCTCCCCTGGCCCACGGGTGCCCAGCCCAGGCCGTCTGCCCTGCTGGTCCCAGGTTTTGGCGCTCCTTGTCATCGACTTCTGGAACCACAGATTCCCTAAATCTCATTCTTTTTCTTGGTACTGGGGGTAAGGGCATGTGGAGCTGAAGGCATGAATCTCTGATCAAAGCACATGTCCGTGTGCACACAAGTGAGATCGATCACTTGCAATGTGCACTTCCAATGTCGACACACAGAAAGCGTCTTCACGCCACACCTGATGGAACAGCAAAAGTGGCTACTAGCTCTCTAAAACAAAAGCCAAAGGTAGTAGAGGAAGGGAATTCGGTTGCAAGGTCTCCTTGGATTCAACACATCAATCCTAATATCAGTTGAGTCAAAGGTATAAATTCTAGAATTTTCGCATTGGTATTTATTTTCTTTAAATGTACCTCCATACCGAGAACTGAAAACTGCTAACTTTTTCTTAATCCCTAGACTGAAAGGTTGAGTAAAGATTATTAAGTTGTTCTCATGACACTTTTCTTATGCTATGGTTAAGTTATAATTTTAAGAAATGTTGTTACAAAACGGCTTACCAGATTCTTCAGCAGTGTGGACAGTTCCTTGGTAAGAGTAGAGAACTTCACAAAAGCGGTACCGAGATCTGGGTTGTCTCGACTTAAAAAATTACTTCCAAATTTATCAAGCACTTGTGCATAGTTTTCTTCGTTCTGTACATGATCTACAAAAGAAGAAAAGGAGGAGTCTGAGCTGTTATTTGCTATAATGACAAGTCATTGTGCACGGTGACTGATGACTAGAAACTGGAAAGGAAAGCAAAGAGAAATTGTATCAGTCCAGAAACGGGTCAGCAGGACACTGAACATCCTCATTCTATTAAAGGCCCCCCCCCTTTTCTATCACAGCATGTAGCTCACTTACATTCCAATCACTCCACAGTGACCCCCCTCCCTCAGACTGAGGGGTGAGGTTATTAAGAAAGTGATTACTGGGAACAAGGGAAAAAATTCTCCTTAACAAATCAATCATGTCATGCAAAAGAAAAATCCAACAATTCTAACATTTCTCCCTCTGCAACGAATCTTGAGTCCCTATCATTTTTTTTAAAAGCCCAGGTCTAAGGAGAAGGTGTAAAACGCTACTGTATCCACGTGTTGGTGCAAACTGGGCAGGTGTGATCACAAGGATGTTGGTGTGAAGTTTGGCCCTGCCACCAAGAGCTGACCACCTCAGCAGGTTTTTTTTAGCTTCCTTCCTAGCTGGCACATAGAGGTAATAATAAAATGTGGATAAGCTTCCTCTTGCCGAGCTTTGATTTTCTGATCTATTTAAACAAGACTAGCTATCCACAGAAGAGTGGTGCTGTGGAGGTGACATCTTTAGACCTTTCGTAAAGCATACAAATCTCTCAACAGAGTGAATGTCCCGTTACCATAACAGCTCCTCCCTCTTCAAGGTCCCCCCTTTATTTGGGTTCCAGGGTATCATCCTCCTGACTGTGCTCCCAACTTCATTATGTTGGGGGGCCCTGGCCTCAGTGTCTGGCTTATAACTTCTCTACCTGAGCTCACTCTCTTTAGTTCTCAGTCTTATGATTTTAAAGAACTTTCTATCAGCTGACAACTCTCAAAACTGAGAGCCCACACGAGACCCTGAAATACAAACTTAGATGTCAGTTGCCTATTTGGCTCATGTCCAATAACCACGTTCCATGTTAACACATACAACCACCCTGATGTATTACCTCTGGCCCTCTTTTTTTTCTTTGCAGTCCCTTATCTAAGTTAATGGCGAAACACATTCTTGTAGTGGTTTGGGTTGAAACCCACCAAAGCATACTGGACTTTCGCTTGTTCATACCCCAGATGCATCCAGCGGCAAACCCTTTTGCATCACCTGTAAAGCACAAGTCCTCACTGGCCCCATTTCGTGCCACTTCTTGCCTAATTACTGCAAAAGGTTCTTCTGCAGTCCCTCTGGCCTGTCACCAACGCGGCATGCAGTCTGAGCACGCGAGGTTGTGCAGCAGACCTCATGGCTCTGAGGGCAGACGCCACCACTCAGCAGAGGCCACGTTCCCAGCCCCCACAGACTTCCGGGAGTGGCAACTGTCATGCCCATGCCCCTGAAGGACAAGGTCTGGGGTGTGACGTGCTGACCAGGGGAGCTGGAGTGGAGGTGACGGAGGCTTGTGCTGAACTCTGCCTCCTCCTTCCTCTGTCACGGAGCTCGGGAAACAAGGACTGTTAAGCAAGTTCACGACTTATGATGAGTAAGTGAACAAATGGGCATATCGGATGTACTTTAAAGTGTACCTTTAAAGCTTCATTCAAACACCACCTCTTTCTTCTTGTAAAGTCCCCCTTCATCACGAAAGGTCCTTCCTTGCCCTAATTCTTTGCATGCCTACTGCAATATCTTCCACCAACACTTCATATCTGTGGAAACAGGTCTTTCCTGGCTGCCAGGCCACGAGAGGAGGGCCTGCCTGGCTCCTGTCTGCATCCCTGCCCCAGCACACACGGTGAGTAGGGCCTGGGAAGCCGAGGTGCTGTAAATGTTTGTTCATTTGGGTGAATGGGTTTCCTTTTCAGGAACCGAAGAAACATTTCTCCTTCAATCTAGACTGGTCAAAACGGAGATTAAATTTTAAAACATTTCACTCTCTAGCACTTCATGCAGCAACAGACCCAGGGAAAAGGCCCAGTACATGGAAGGGCACGCGAGTCACCACAGCACAGGAAACAAAGTGAGGCTCCAGTGGGCACAATCCATCCCGCCATTAAAGATTCATGATGTCTACAGCAGCTGGCAGAATTTCAGACTGAGATATTAGAAAGATAAAATGCAGCTCTGGTTACTCTCCAAATCCACTCAGAAAAGCAGATCTGACAAACACAAAAGAAAGGCCACCCCTGCCCAGAGGCCACACCCGCCCAGAGGCCACACCCATGCATAGCCCATACCGGCTCAGGCTCAGAGGGTGCAGGGCTGCTGGCTTTCGGAGGCAGACGTAGCCCTGCACCCCGCTGTCTGCCCCACAGCCTCCTCTCACTGCGGAAACCCACCTCACCTGACCTCCTTCCCAGTACAGAGGAACTCGCTGCCTGGTCGTTTCAGCTGTTTCCAAGGGGCTCTCGATGGTGAAACAGTAGTACATAGCTTTTTGGTCTCTTGAAGTGTAACCCAATCCAAATGAAGTGTATCAGTCACTAGATTAAAAGAATGTCCATGTACCTACCCCCAGAGCTCAAACAATAAAGAATACAGAACATTTTCCGCCCTTTGCCCCTCAACCCAACCCCGGGATCTTCCTGCCTCCCTGGACACAGTCACTACTGGGAAAGTAAATGAGTGTGGTAACAGACATAGGGAACATCACGCGGAGCGTGGAAACAAGCATGCAAAGCTCCCAGTCCAGCAGGAACCGGGGACCCAGCCAAAACCAAGGACGACGCGGTGCAGCAGAGACAGGCCACAGGAAAGGAGCACTGGCATCTGCTGAGAAGCTTCTCTGACCCAAGTGCTCTTGACAGTAGCATATTTAACCGTCGCGGGCACGTAAATGTGCTGGGGCGAGGCGGACCTGATAAAGCACCGGCTCGGGACGGGCCTCTGCACGTGTCTGGTACTCCGTGCCCGGCGAGTGGTGCCGTCTGTCCGGGCCTGTGATTGTGTGTGTGGATACACACAGCTCTGGGCTGCACACACATGTGTGAGGTTTCCTAGAGTAGATACACATTTTAAAATAAACCAGTGTGTGACCCGTGCCTTGGGACAATAATAATATTCCTATTCACAGTAAACATGATGGGAATTAAAAGGAAGGTGCTTAGGACGGTGCCAGACATGTGGCAGGGGCCCAAATAAGCACCCTGAGTGGACGGCTGGTTATAACACACAGAGCTGCATGAAACATCAAACGGCAGGCACATGGGTCTCACGTCTGCACTATTTTTGCATACTTTATTGTAAGTCTAACACTGACAATTCGCTGGGAAGATTATATAAACACACGCATCCTCTTGCATGAAATTAAAGGTTTCTCCAGTGGCTTTTGCACAGCCGCACCGTGAGGGTGAGCAGACAGCCTCTGGAGGAGGGAGGTGCATGCACAGAGTGCCGCAAGCCACTCCAGTGGAAGGGGAATGCGGGACTCAGGGCAGTGGCCTGTGAGCACTGTTCAGCCCAGATGTAACAACAGAACTTGTCGTGTGGGCCTGTGAATAACAGTGAATGACTAAGTGCTGGTGTGCCTGGTGCGGAGCCTGGCATATACCCACGGAAGCTAGCTGGCATGCACAGCTGGCTGGTGCCACCCATGCGCTGCGACAGGAAATCACTCTCAGAGTCGCCGGGGCTTAAGCATCACCATGCATGCAAAGCCCTCTCCTGCTGCGTGGAACAGATGAGGCGACTGGGTTAGTCACCTCCTCCAAAGAAATGCCACAGTCGAAATCCTGATGAAGTGACGCTGTCTGGCAGTAGGTAAAATGCTACCACCTTCTTCCTTTTCGGAGCTGAAGGGAGTGCCCACCTCTTAGAATTATGCCACGTTCTGCTGCAATTGCACTAATACCAGAAATTCCCTACAAATACTCTAAAGACACGTATCATGTGCCACACAGGCCATACATAAAGGCAATTAACTTGAGCCTTTCTGATGCTAGAGCTGGGCTCTTCTCCCCTCATGCTAAAGTGGAAGGACCAAGGCTCCAATTCCCGGTCTGGCCATCTTGGTCAAGTCACATCACCTTTCTAAGTCGCAGCCTCTCAGCTGTAAAACTGAGGTTAGGGTGGCGCTGACCTCACAGGGGCATGATGGAGACTGAGTGAGACACTGCGTGCCAGGTGCCCCGTGATAAAGAGCTCAATGAGCAAGACCAGGATGGCAGCATTGGCAGCACCAGGCTGCCCACTGTGAGGTGCTGTAGGCGCCAGCCTGGCCAGGCGGCAGAGCTCCTGGCGACACTCTGAAGTCAACGGTGGCCCCGAGTACATTCCCAGGGCCTAGCGATAACAAGCCCCAGGGGAGTCCAGAAAAATTCAACACTCTTTAAAAAGTATCTGTGTAAGAATCTCCAGTGTCATGGAAACGATGAAACAGGCCTTCTCTCAGGGCGCCTGGCTGGTGTCACCCATGTCACGTCTCGCCAAACGGGGAGGCTCTCACAAAACCTTAACACTGGCTCCAATCTCTAGTTCTCTGTCACAGTGGTGGTTATGGCCGCAGCTAACTGAGTGCCAACGACAGCAGGCCCCGCCATAGTGACCGCCCCACACCTCTGTTCAGACTGCTTTTTATGCCAAAGAAAGGGGAAAGTTAGTTGCGAAGTCAAATTAGAACTCAGCTTCATGCAACTACAATGCCATCCTTTCTGCTGACTGAGCCGGGAAAGGAGGCCCTGGACACCACATGAGGTACCACCCACAGTACATGAGGCCTTTGGTTTGCAAGGCTCGATGACGAACACTCCCCTTCCCCTACAGAATGACAGTAAGACAGGCCTCCTATTCTGCATAATTACAAGAGCTACAATAATTGCCGTGAAAGGTTTTGTTTACTTCGTGCACCAGGGATTGTGCTAAGTATTTCTTCTGTATGACCTCATTTGATACTCACAGTAACTTGCGACTATTGACCTCTTTACGTCGACGAGAAACTGGCTTAGAGTTTCCATGCTGCTCAAGGTCACTGAGCTAGTAAGCAGAACAGAGAGG